TTTTTTTTGGATTTCCCCAAAAAATAATTACACAGGTAGATGTGTTGGCAGATCCAGCAGTAACAATGCCAACAGAGTTCCTCAACAAGGAAACTTTAAATCCACATCCTTCAGGTTATATATAATACTAAATATATTATATCAGTAAAGCTAATTATATTTTTATTATTTACCATGTTTACAATCAGTGATTTGGCCCTATGTATTGTCTTAATGATAATAAATATAAACACTACACGTATCTGGTAATGACAGCATACAACATTAAGTCTAAGCATCAATCGTCTTCAAAAAAAATGAAGCCAGCTGAAAGTTCAGTGCTTGTGTTTATTCAGTTTAGCAACACACGTGCGGCTGCATCGCTATTTATCTGTCAAAACGTGCTGTCCGAGTGAGCCAGTCAAAAAAGGCCTCGCCGCTGACGTCACCATCCGCCCGGACATGTGTCCCCTTTTCTTTTTTTCCCCCCTTTTGGCACTCTGAACAGTTGGATTATAAGATCACGAATTTGGGTTAGCTCCATCTACGTCAATCTAAAAATTGGTGTAAGTAATGTTAAGCATGGTTTGTTTGAGATTTGCAGATTTGTATTTATTCATTTTTTTACAGTAGTAGTGCTGACCGAGCAAATCCATCAGCTACCTGCTGCAAAAACTGACACAGACAATCAACACCCAGGCATACAACACTAAAAACCAATAAAATCCATCCTTCTAGTTAAGCTTGAATCAAATTACAGCTTAAAAGCACAATCAGAATTTTGATTTCTTTTTAAATCGCTGTTATTATATTCTGCGAGGGTTTTAAAGAGTGAGTTCACACCAAATTTTGGAAAGATGAAAAAACATCGCTGCTCGTCAGCGGAGAAAATCCGATTATTGGGCTAATTGCTGTGACTCTTTGGTTCATATTTGTGTTTTAACAGAGCCATGTTAGAAGCTGAATAATAAAGTCTGCCAGCGCTGGAGAAATTGTTCTTTAGTCCCAGAAGACACACTTAAGACTTTCTGTCAAAGTTTTTCTTAGTGGTTCTGAAGTTTTAGCACAGCATGGCAATGCATTAAAGATGCATCTTTCAGTTCATTATCAAAGCTCTGATTTTTCCATAAAATTCAATTACAAGGCTCAGTGGGACGGTTTCTGTGTATATCACTTCTACATCTTTACTACTTCTTTTTCAGTTATTATCCAACATGTATAGCAGTACAAATATATCTGTGATTATGGACCTGATAACCCAATAATAGGCATGACATAGTGATTAGTTAATGAGTGATGTCTAACCCTAACCCTATCTGCAAATATGATGACATTTATAAAAAGCTGCATATCTGCCGTATAGAATCATTTTTGTACTTTGAAACATGGTGCCATAAAGAGCTAAGGCCATTAAAATGTTTCTTATGTGTCAAAAAGATGTTTTTTTAGCACAAGGGAAGGGGGAGTAAAAACAAAACACACAAACATACACACACACACACACACACACACACACACACACACACACACACACACACACACACACACACACACACACACACACACAACCCTCTGCAGTTCAAATTCAGATCAAATCCAGGAGTGGGTGATGCAATCATCTACATGCTGCTGAAAGCTTACTCCCATCCAGATAGTAACTGCATTGTGAGGATTGCCAATTTTTGATTTCTCAGGTGCATTTAATATGATTTAAGCTGCTGCTAGTGATAGAGTAAATACATAAAACATAAGCAGACATGTCCATCATCTCATCAATTACTGATTACCTGACAGACAGGCTGCGGTATGTGAGACTGAGCAGTATAGGAGCTACACAGGGGCCTGCGGTGTCTCCATTGCTACTCACGTTGTGCACCTCAAACTTTTAGCACAACTCCAGGTCATGCCATCTACAGAAATACTCTGACAATTCAGCAGTGGTTGGAAATGTTAGTGATGGGCAGGAGGAGGAGTACAGAGCACTAAAAATAGTGATCGACGTCAGTATGAAGAGGACGGCTACACGACTGGTGTCTATCCTGGGACAGAATGTTGATGTTGTGGGGTGTGAGTACAAGAACCCGGGCATCTACATTGACAACAACAACAAAAAAGGGTAGGATGAGAAGGCTCTGTTTCCTAAGGAAGCTGAGATTCTTTGATGTGTGCAGCAAGATGATGGATCCTGAACCATACACACTGCCAGACAGGAGTGGCGCACATTCTCCAAACAACAATAAGAATGCATCATCATTTCAACTTCCGTAACAAAATCATTGCCAAAAAGTATTTTCTCATTCATTCATTAAAGAAACTGTCTTGGAACTGCTATTTGCACATACAAATGTGTCTTCCGCATTCTCAATAAAGCAATCATTTATAATAATTTGTTTTTGTTGCATTAATATAGCATCCATGAGTGTCAGTCCCTGTTAAAACTGATATTGAAAGACTGGAATATGTTAATCTGTAGTATGACATCTATTTTGCGTCATGAGGGGCTGACATATTTTTAAACTGTTATTTATTTATTTATTGTGGAAATCGTCTTCGTTCCCATGGCACAAACAGAGTAATAACACCAAAAGCAAAACTATCAAACTAAAAATATCAGTGAAATATGGGTCAAATTGCTATTTTAAAGCCCCTTGTTGCACAGACTTTCACAATAAGTGATTTTCTTCCAAACTGGCACAGGGGATTACAGGGTATCTTACCTGTTCTACCCTTCTGCTCGACCCACATACAAGAGGTCGCCGTGCACCGGTCACACACAGCATTAAGCTCCTGTGCTGGCTGCAACATCTGTGCCTTAATGTAGCCAGAAGCTCTTAAAACACTCCCACGTGTTTACGCTGTGCCTATGAGTGCTGGGTTTGAGCCCTTTTTCTTTTTTCCCTGCGCTGCAGCTCCGTCACACTCTAGCCTTAGCCAATGAATAATCGCCGTTTCAATTTTTGCTCAATTTTGCCCTGAATTTAGTCTGTCAGACTGACAGCGTGCTCGTTTTCTCACACTTTATGCAAAATGTCAAGCCATGTGTCCTCTGTTAAAATCTTAAAGGTGATCTGGACTGCATTTCCCACCTGTTAACGCCTTCCTTTAGAGTACGATGGGCTGGATTTGTGCCTGAGAGGCAACGATGAGGGTTAAATCATGTTAATATTGTAGCTTAGTCATTGGTTGACGCAGTCCTGGCGCGGTATTGTAAAGTTTACTGAGAGCTCAAAGCTAAAACAGCTACTTGGATACTGAAGTCTTGAATATGTTTCTATGACATCAACCACGATCGGTTGCATAAAGGTTAGCTTAAACACTGCTACACAGTCACAGACGTGCTCCGGTGAAAATGAACTAAAGGTTTGTTTTGGTCGGTTTCGAGTTGAAGCTAAGCTAAAGGGAGGCGCGCTGGGTTGTCGTTTACTACCAGCTGGAAAAAAGTGCTAGCAGCACTGAGAGCTGAATCGAGATGAGTGTTTCACGGGAAATTAAACGTAAGTACCGCTTTCAGTTTACGTTTTTTGGGCACGTTTAACGGCTATTGTTATGTGACTATTAAAATTAAGTAACTGTTACATCTCGATTGTTTGCAGAGCTGCAGAAAGCAAAGAGCAAAGCCCAGAGCTGCAACAACTTAAAGGAGGAAGCCAACATCTGTAATCAGCTAGGAGAGCTGCTGTCCAGGAGCGGTGTGTATAGTCTGCCCAATATCAGCACTGTGTTATTTTAGCACTGCGAGTACTGCAGTTATGGATTGTTTTTGATTCTCCGCTCTTCCTGTCACAGCGTCACCATGTCTCGAATAATCTTGATTTTTCTAATAATTTTTGTCCCTTTACTTTATAACTGTGCAGGTGATCCTAAAACAATCTTTCAAAAGTGGATAAAAGTGCCATTACTTGCATATTTACTCCCACCTGGAGCCACTTGAATTTCAGTATTTTCCAGTTTGACCATGGCTGCTTCTTAGTACACAGCTGTGTCACTGTAGAGTTTAATCACGGGATACATTTCAGAGGCTTTACATTCATATGCTTTCTTATGCTTTTGTCTTCAAGTGAGTCAAATTTCATCTGGTGCCGATCAAGGTTATTAACTAAAAGCCAAAACTAGATGTGAAAAGCATTTAAATTAACTAAGATAAAACTAGAATGTAGAAAAAAGTTAATGATTTTTGTGAACTTGGAAAACTAAAACACTAAACGATAAATAGTGGACGCTTTGGCATTTATTTGGTAAAAATTTTTTTATCACAGCTTGCCTGATGAAGCTTTGAAGTACATGTTTATTAAGATTCTGGATGTCAACAACACAGTGAGCCAACTGCTTTTAAAAAGTTCTACTTTCATTATGATACCAGTATGGATCCTGCCTCTGACATGTGCCCGCCATACAATAATAATTAAATCTAAAATTAGCCCTGAAACTAATAAAAACTAAACTGAAATGAGCAAACTGCAAGGTTATGTGCTGCACTACAATTCATCTGATGACTTTGATTAACGTAAACAGTTTGAGCAAAGGATGCAATAATATTCAGTCTAGTAATTCATTTATTCTTTATCTGCTTTTTCATACCAACAACATTTTGTTTGCTGTGTAATTTTTTCTTTTGCCTTCCTCATGCAAAGTGTAACATTTACCTTTCTGCTTCGTGTGTGTCTCAGGTGATTATCAGGCTGCCATTAGGGAGCACCAGCAGGAGTTGGCTCTCTCTGAAGTGCTAGATGATGTGATTGGACGAGCTGTGGCCAATCGTAAGATAGGAGAGTGCTTTGCAGAGTTGGGCAACATTGAGGCAGCTTTAAAAGTAAGTAAACTGACGCTTTATCAAAGTGATAAACTTCTAATTCAATTGGTGTTTAGGACCTGCATAAGTGGATGTGTGTCTCTTCTTCAGCACCAGCGTCTTCACCTGGACCTGGCTCGATCTGTCAGAGATCATGCTGAAGAGCAAAGGGCGCTGGCCACTATCGGTCGGACCTACCTCTTCCGTTATGAAACGGACCAATCGAGGAAGAGCTTGGAGGAAGCAGAGGAGGCCTTCAGGAAGAGCTTGGGCATTGTGGATGACCGGCTGGAAGGTGTGTACTGTTTGTATCGTCCCAGTGGTTTTTAATGGGCGATTTCTTTATTTCGTTATTCCTAATCCTCTACCTGGCTGCAGGGACTGTGCCACAGCGAGAGATCAATGAGATGAAGGCGCGTCTCTTCCTCAATCTGGGTCTGGTCTGTGATCATCTGGGCGAGCACAAAAGCTGCAGCGAGTTCATCCGGCGAAGTGTATTTATTGCCGAGTAAGAACATCCTAAACTTTGCTCCACGTCTAAGCATGTCGATCTTTTTCATTGACAGCTTTTAATCGGCTTATTTTGAATAACTGTCAACTGAGATATCGCCGTTATTCCCCTGTAAAGGAAGAGCCAGCTGCTGGAGGATCTCTACCGTGCAAACTTTAACCTGGGCAACATCTACTTCCGTAACGGTCAACGCTCTAATTCGGTCCGCTGCTTAGAGCAGGCCAAAGAGTGCGCCCGGAAGATTAAAGACAAATTTAGTGAGAGCGAGTGCTTTCACTGCATCGGCAAGGTACGAGCTCCACCATATCCTCTTATTTTCTCCTGTTGCGATCAAGCAGGTTTTGAAGTGTGTGTTTAATTGTTAACATGCGATGCTAACAGGTGCAGCTGTCTCTGGGTGACTTTGTAGCAGCGCGACGATCTCTGAAGAAAGCGGTCTTGCTGGGTTCCCAGCAGCCGCTGGACAGACAGACGGTGAAGAAAGCTTTCAAATATGGTGAGTGAACGGTTAGATATGTTTGTTTTTTTACTTACTTGTAGCTGCATGGATGGTACAGTGTATTTCTTTCCTATCACGTAGCTGACCGAGGCTGTAAATTAGAGGAAGAGCTGGGGGAAGATCAGGGCAAAAAACCCAGCTCCCATCAGACTGTCGAGTTGGCAGAGCAGCTCGGGGATCTCTGCTGTAAAGTTGGCTGCTACAGCAAAGCTCTGGAAGCTTATCAAGCTCAGGTGAGAAGCATCAAAAGAGTCACATGGCTAATTCTCACATTTTTTTCACTTTTTTTTTTTTTAATAGTTGCAACGTAGAGTCTAAATGTGACTTGTCTAAAGCGGTGTTGGTTTTGTTGTGTAGCTAAAGGGTGCTGAGGCGTTGGGAAAGCCTGCCAGGGAGCTGGCTGTCATCCACGTGTCCCTGGCTGCCACCTACGCAGACCTGAAACAACACAGCAAGGGGGTGGAGCACTACAGAAAGGAGCTGGCGTTACGACAGGGCAGCTCTACAGAGGTGATCTGCAAATTCACCCGTCTGCCCTGTGGTAGACATGAATGTGTGACTTATTACTTATATTTGTGCGCGTCAGGAGTGTAGCACGTGGCTAAACATCGCAGCAGCTCAGGAGGAGAGCGGCTGTGCTTTGGAGGATGTGGAGAGGAGCTACAATACAGCTTTACGCTGCGCTCAGGAGTCTGGACAGGCCAGACTGCAGGTGAGAGATAAATTAGTCAGCTGTGTTGAAAACTAAGCAGAAATTTAAGATATCTTGTAAAGGCACGGTGATGAATATCATGCACGACCAAAACGCACATTGACTTCCACAGAAGCGCGTGTTGAGGCTCTGGCTGGCGTCCCAGAGACGAAGCGGCTCATCGGATGCTGACAACACCGAGGCGAGGCTGCAGGAGCTGTGTGCTTCGGAGGGCTGGAATCCAGATGGGAGTGATGGTGAGGAGGAAGAGGAGGAGGAAATGGACAACAGCGAACCGCTGGATGACAGTGATGTCATCCTCTCAGACTCAGGTAAAATGTGCGCGGGTAACTCTATCCGGAAAGCACTGACATCTCTATACAGAGGGATGCTTTGATTCACGTTACTTTTCATGTGGTTTGTAGACGATGATCTGGAGGGTTATGACAAGATGGTGTCAGGGAGGAGGAAAACAGGACGGGTGAGCGATGTGCGAGTTGTCATTTCTTCTTTGTAGACTGCGGTTTAGATCTTCATTCTTGGCCTTTTTTGTGTCTGTCTTTCTGCTTTAGTGGAACAAGCGGAACGAGAAGGGAGAGACGTCTCTTCACAGAGCATGCATAGATGGGAATCTGAAGCAGGTCCAGTACCTGGTAGAACAGGTATAAAGAAGATGATTCATTATTTTAATCCAATAAGTTTTTAACTCTTGGAATCAGGAGGGAAAACATAAAGTTGAGCACCATCAACATATAAACTGATTCACTCGTTGATGGTTGGTCACTATAATAAACAGTTCAGGCTTGAGGCTTTCTGCTTAACTCAACAGAACAAGTGCAGCAACAAACTTCTTGGACTTTAACTTCTTGTCTGAGTTTTTTAAATATTTACCACCTTAAAAAAAACAACAACCCTGCATCATGCAGTTTGATGAGAACATCGATTGGCTCAAATATAAATGATTTATTAGGAGTGTTCATGAAGATTGTATGGAGGAAAAAAAATGTACAGACAGAATCTGTAACGTCGAAGAGCCTGATGAAAGCTTTTGTTTCTTTGCATATCAGGGTCACCCAGTGAACCCCAGGGACTACTGTGGCTGGACTCCCCTCCATGAAGCCTGCAACCATGGTCACTATGGTAAGTCCTGTCAGAGTCTCTGGAAAACTGCACCCGCTCCCTCGCTCATCTTTCTCTGCTCTTCGTGCAGATATCGTGGCTCTGCTCTTGGAGCACGGTGCTAACGTTAACGACCCCGGTGGCCCTTTATGCGAGGGTGTGACTCCTCTCCACGACGCCGTCGCATGTGGCAATTTAGAAGTCACAAGGC